AAAAAAAAAAAAAAAAAAAAAAGGACACAAATTTTGACCTTTGGCCTTCCTTTAATAACTTGAGTGGTACTTAGCTCATGCATGTAGAATTAGATCCTGGGAGCTCCCAAGGAGTAGCTAGGTGATCACCATGTCTGTTTGCCATCTAGTTCGCCTATTGCGGGAGGAGCTACAGCTGCTGCAGGAGCAGGGCTCCTATGTGGGGGAAGTAGTCCGGGCCATGGATAAGAAGAAAGTGTTGGTCAAGGTAAAAGCAGCATGACCCAGGGACCAGCCCAGTCTCTGCTGCATTCCCACCCCTTTGTGTGTAGCCTTGGGAGACAGGGTTCTGTGTTCTGTCAAGATATTGTGGGATTCTCATAGGTCTTCCTGAGTAGGGTTAGTGATTTGGTGGCTGTCAGAAGGTCATGGGCCCTTGTTTCTTTAGGTACATCCTGAGGGCAAATTTGTTGTAGACGTGGACAAAAACATCGACATCAATGACGTGAGTGTAGCAGGTGAGGGGATGGGGGTAGTGGGGTCAGCTCTTACTGCACCACTTGTGAAACTTGCCCCCTTCACCCAGGTGACACCCAATTGCCGGGTGGCTCTAAGAAATGACAGCTACACTCTACACAAGATCCTGCCCAATAAGGTGGACCCATTGGTATCATTGATGATGGTGGAAAAAGTGCCAGATTCGACTTATGAGATGATTGGTGGACTGGACAAACAGATCAAGGAGATCAAAGAAGTGATCGAGCTGCCTGTTAAGCATCCCGAGCTCTTCGAAGCACTGGGCATTGCTCAGCCCAAGGTGAGTAGCAGGGCTTCTCTGGGAGGCCCAAGCTGTACTTACTACCTTACTACTCCTATCCTAGCCAGCCTGGCTTAGGCTGGCCTTTCCCCTGAAAAGAATGGCTGGGGAAGTGTTCCTAGGGTGATGGTTCGGATATAAGCTCCAGAATGGACCTTGATTTTTTTTTTTTTTTTTTTTTTTGGTATCCCTAACCTATAGCAAGGGACCCAACACTCGGTAATGTTCACTGAATGAAATGAGGTGGGTAGCTTTCTGCCCTGACTTTTGCTGTTCCCCTCTAGGGAGTGCTGCTATATGGACCTCCAGGCACTGGGAAGACACTGTTGGCCCGGGCTGTGGCTCATCATACAGACTGTACCTTTATTCGTGTCTCTGGCTCTGAATTGGTACAGAAATTCATTGGGGAAGGTAACCATACCTAGGAACGTGAGAAGCAAGAGGTTAGGGGGTTAGGGAGGTAATAAGCTCCCTAACATCAGCTTGACCTCCACACAGGGGCAAGAATGGTGAGGGAGCTGTTTGTCATGGCACGGGAACATGCTCCATCTATCATCTTCATGGATGAAATCGACTCCATCGGCTCCTCACGGCTGGAGGGGGGTTCTGGAGGGGACAGTGAAGTGCAGCGCACAATGCTGGAGTTGCTCAACCAGCTGGATGGCTTTGAGGCCACCAAAAACATCAAGGTAAGGTGGTAGCAGCCTTGGAACAGGCCCAGGGAAGGCCTGAGTGCCATGCAGGCTGCGGAAGAGCTTAGCTGACCCTACCTGCTTTCTCTGCTCAGGTTATCATGGCTACTAATAGGATTGATATCCTGGACTCTGCGCTGCTTCGCCCAGGGCGCATTGACAGAAAAATTGAATTTCCACCCCCCAATGAAGAGGTTTGTAATGGGCACTGCACAAAGTGGCTCTGGCTATGGGGCTGGGCTGTGGGGCTCAGTCCTTAAACTCACCCGTCTCCAGGCTCGGCTGGACATTCTGAAGATTCATTCTCGGAAAATGAACCTGACTCGGGGGATCAACCTGAGAAAAATTGCTGAGCTCATGCCAGGAGCATCAGGAGCTGAAGTGAAGGTAACTGAAGTACCCACCAAAAACAGGGCAGAGGCAGGAAGCATCTGGCTTAAGGGCCACAGATGAGGGGCACAACAGTGGGGCCTCAACTTCCTTGTCCCGTTCAGGGTGTGTGCACAGAAGCTGGCATGTATGCCCTGCGAGAACGGCGAGTCCATGTTACTCAGGAGGACTTCGAGATGGCAGTAGCCAAGGTACAGGCCTCCATCTTTGTGACTGTGTGGTGGCTCTGGAGCAGTGAGCTAGGGTGTGTGTGCGTTCATAACTTTAAGGTTCATTCTCTCTCTCCACCCCTAGGTCATGCAGAAAGACAGTGAGAAAAACATGTCCATCAAGAAATTATGGAAGTGAGGGAACAGCCTTTGTGTGGATCCTCCAATAAAGCTCTGTAGGCCCAGTCCTCTAGGACTCCAGTCTGTTCATGAGGGCTGCGCTGTTCAAGGACCAGGTACCATCAATAGACAAAAGGATTTATTTGGAAATTTCCAAACCTGCCAGAAGTGGCACTCACCAAGCCCCTAGGCCCGTCCTCCTCACCAAACTCCAAAGGGTAACATCAATCCTCCCAGCCTCCCCATGCACACACCTATACCTCAGGCCATGCTAGAGAACTGGAGTATCCCCTCCACGGCCCACACCACTGGAGAGGCAGCCCTCTGGCATCCCAGGAGATGATAGCGGCCAGAGCCGCTTGCATAGATTGAGGAAAGAAAACAAGGAGGCACCAAACAGGGCTCCCTGAAAACCCCCAACTTTCCCCTGTACAAAAAAAGTGGCTCCCACATAGAAAACTTGCTCCCAAAATAGTGCAAATACCCAAAGGAAAGGAAAAAACCAGCAGCAAGGCTGGGCTTGTAGGAATGGCAAAGAACTTTGGTTTAGAAAGGCTAGGAAGAGTCTGGGCTGCACCTCCTCTTCCTGGCCCAGCTCCCCAGAGCCAGCTCTGACCCTCACCCCAGGGGGTTGTCTGTAAACATGCAAACCCAGCAGCCTTTGGTTCCAAAATTGTTACAAAGCACAGCCTCCAGCAGTCTTACTTGTGCCTGCCTGCAGGGGGCAGAGGAGGCATCTGCTGAACCCAATTAAAGCCAATGCAAAAAGAATAAGGCTTTGGGGACCAAGCAACAAGGAATCCTATCACTACATTTATAAAACTAAAGCTGCAGAGTAGAGGGTGACAGCAGACACTCCTCACCCTAATCTACATGTCTGAGGACCCAGCAAGGTCCCAGAGGATGGTCTCCCTCCAGGGCTGGGAAGAAAGGAAGAGATCCCTGAGCAGTTAGGTCAGGCGAATTCCTAGCACCTGTTCCAGTTCCTGCCTTCGCTGCTGCACCTGGAGAAGGGAGAGACCAAAGTGGCTCAGGCCTTTCCTACTCACAACCACAGGAGAGAAAACAGGGCAGAGCCTCACCTTGGCAAAGATGTGCCTGCCTACTGCTTCCTGGGCCCAGGGCTGGTGATAGAAAGCAGCTCGTCTCTCCTCCTCAGGATTTCCAATCACATCAGTGATGATCTGCAAAGAGCCAGGAGGAAAGCAATAGCATAACCAATCCCCACCCCTGAGCCAATCCACCCCTGGAACTGCTGGGGGTAAAAATCACCCAGAGCATTATACAGGAGTCCCCCTCGAGAAAGAGGACTACACCTTGAGGTCTCGGCGCTGGGAACGGAGCCATTCCTGGATGAAGTCCTGGGGGTCAGTGCTAAAGCTGAGCATGAAATCCCTCTGGGTCTTCAGCTGGTTGATGGACTCAATGGTCTCATGGATCTGGGGAGGGATACATGTGTCAGACTGTGCCCCCAAAGCTTAAACACAAAGGACTGAGCCAGAGTTGCCAGCCTACCCCCATCCTGGGCCCCAGAGGAAGCTTCGGAGGCAGAGGTCCCACCTTGACATCAAGGGAGGCGATCTCCTGCTGATTGGTGGTAGAGGCCAGAAAATTGCTCATCTGGGCCTTCAGCGGGTCATCCACCTCCACATCAATGTCATAACAGGCTGTCTTCTTCTGGTCGTTAGGGTCCACACTGCAGGCAGCACATGGGGAGGGAAGGCACATAGCTGTCTTCATCTTGCCCACCTGGGCCAAACCTGGGACCCATTCTCTGCGCACACACAATCGGGGAGCAGGAAACCTGCTGTTCTCTTTGGCTTTAGTTCAAGCCAAGGGTGAATCTGCTCTTAGCAGAGACTTCCTGTCCCCCTCCTTGCATTTACCTAATGACATGGTTGATGACAATGGGGTCCGGGTGCTGCAGCAACCCCGCCAGCTTCATGGGAATCTCAGAGAAACGGAGTCGGCCACAACTGAAGATCTGGAGGAAATACCAAAGGCTCAGCATTGCCTTGTGGGCACAGCGGAGTGGACAATTCCAGGACCAGTGAGGGCAGCAGTCTGCAGGCTGTGGCCAAAGAGTAGCCCCAGCAGGCAAGGCAAGGGCTGAGACAGCAGAGGGGCTGGCATCTGGCTAACCTGGCGGAAATAGCGGTTGCAGTTGATGTACTCCCGCTCGTGCCCATCCTGCAACTGGTTATGCTTGATGTAAAGCCACAGGGCCTGCATGATGGCAGCCCTTGTCTGCGTGTGCACTCCCAGCAGCCTCGCCAATCGGGGGTCCAATTTGTACTGGGGAGGCTGGAATTGGATGGAGGGGAGTCAGGATGGGCTCTTGTAGTAAAAGCAGGAAAATCGGGCAGGGACAGGAAGGGTTTATAGCAACGAACTCCCCTCCTGAGGGGTCCCTGTGGTCCCAGAAATGACCCCAGGGCCTCTGTCACCTGATGATCCAGCATGAGCAGGAGGGTGCACTTGACATTGAGGTCTCCAGGCCGTTTTACCTGGAAGCCATCTGTCTCCTGGGTGGTGGGCATCCGGTGCCACTGGCAGGGAGAGAAGTATGGCTTATCACCAAGGGGGTGGGCGTGAACACAGGGCCTTCCAAGGGGCCTGAGGCCATTTCCCTGCCAAATCGGTATGTCAGCCTGCCTCTGTGCCCCAGGCCCACTCTTACCTCCACCAGGTGATTGTCAGGCCCATACAGCTCCTTGTCCAGCTCAATGACCAAGCTCTTAAAGAATGAAGAAAACTTCCTCTTCTGTTTGCCAGGCTGGGGATAGAAAGCTATGTGAGAAGGTGCTGCTGAGCTCTCAAATCTCAAGCTATGCTAAATCCCAAAAAACAGGAGCCCCATTTCAGCCCTGCAGCTCTGAAATGAGGTACTGAGGGTAATGAGGGTACTGAGGATTCCTGGGCCCTGAAGGAAGAAATCAGGACTCTGGGCAGACTGGAGGCAGGGAAATGGCGCCCTCTTGCAGCCCACGAGGGACTTCCTCGAGACACTTGACTGCCATCTGCAGGAACATTGTAATAATCACACAAATCAACCTCTAACAGGCTTGGAGCAGCGCCCCCTCCCTTTGGCAGGACTTCTCGGGAAGCGCCCAAGTGGCCCAGTCTTTTTTCTGAGACACCATGTCACTCTGTCCAGCCTGAAGTGCAGCGGCGTGATCATAACTCACTGAAGCTCAATCTCCTGGGCTTAAGCCATCCTCCTGCGTCAGACTTACGAGTAGCTGGGATTACAGGTGTGTGCCGCCACACCCAACTAATTTTTAAATTTTTTGTAGAGACGGGGTCTGGCTCTGCTGCTCAAGCTAGTCTCAAACTCCTTGGTCCCAGTCCTAAACCCACACAGGCCTCCTCCCCTCCAGACACCTCCCTCCCCAACTCACATCATCCAGAAGTTTTCCTTCCACTCGGAGTTCCCAGGAAGCCACCTTGTCCCCTGCTGGGGTTCCCCCGGGGGTCCCTGCAGTTCCTGCACTGTCGCCTTCTGCCTTGCTGGGACTGAATGTGTTGGAAATGTAGATCCGAAGCTTTCGCTTTTGCTAAAGAGAGAAAGGCAATCAACTGGAGGTAGACCAAGACACTGGGATACAGTACTACCCCATCTTCTCATATGAACCATTCAACAATCAATACTGAGCACCAGGAGCCAGCCAGGCACCTTGTCAAGCACTGGGAATTGGAAGTAATAAGTCCCAGTCTTTTTTTTTTTTAGACATGGTCTCACCATCACCCAGGCTGGAGTGCGGTGTCATGATCTCAGCTAACTTGCAGCCTCTGCCTCCCAGGTTCAAGCTATTCTCCTGCCTCAGCCTCCCAGGTAGCTGGGACTACAGGTATGTGCCACCACGCCCAGCTAATTTGTGTTTTTAGTAAAGACAGAGTTTCACCATGTTGGCTAGGCTGGTCTCGAACTCCTGACCTCAGGTGATCAGCCCTCTTCGGCCTCCTAAAGTGCCGAGATAACAGGCATGAGCCACTGTATCCAGCCGAACTCACCATTTTACGGGGAAAGAGATGCATCACCAACAATGCCAGCACAGCCGGACTGGTGCTATGGTGTGACAGAGGAACACATACACAGCGACCGGGCAAATCGGCGGCCTCTGGCTCACATCTTACATGAAACCCAAACACCTGTCATGGCCCCAAAATATCCTAGTCTCCTGGAAAGCATTCATTCACCACTCAAGGGACTGTTCTAGATTATTATTAGAAAAGCCTCTCAGTCGGGTATGGTGGCTCACGCCTGTAATCCCAGCACTTTGGGAAGCCAAGGTGGGCGGATCACCTGAGGTCAGGAGCTCAAGATCAGCCTGGCTAACATGGTGATACTAAAAATACAAAAATCAGCCAGGTGTGGTGAGAGATGTCTGTAATCCCAGCTACTTGGGAGGCTGAAGCAGGAAGAACTGCTTGAACCCAGGAGGCGGAGGTTGCAGTGAGTCGAGATTGTACCACTGCACTCCAACCTGGGCAAAAGAGCGAGACTTTGTCTCAAAAGAAGAAAAGAGGGCTGGCACAGTGGCTCACACCGTAATCCCAGCACTTTGGGAGGCCAAGGTGGGCAGATCACAAGGTCAGGAGTTTGAGACCAGCCTGGCCAATATAGTGAAACCCTGTCTCTACTAAAAACAAAAATTAGCCGGGTGTGGTGGCACGCACCTATAGTCCCAGCTACTCGGGCAGGAGAATCGCTTGAACCTGGGAGGCGGAGGTTGCAGTGAGCCGAGATCGTGCCACTGCACTCCAGCCTGGGCAACAGAATGAGACTCTGTCTCAAAAAAAACTTCTCTATGGATGGGGAAGGAGAAAGGAGGAACTACCTTTATCTTCTAGTCTAGTAGTTTTCAAACTTTTGATTATGACCTATAAGATTTACATTTTCAATTATGACCCAAGGTCTGCATATTTATCTGAAACAAAAATTTCATGAAAGAATACCTTTACTACTATGTTTAGTACTATTGTGAAGTATTTTTAGATTTTCTACTGTCATACATTCATTTGAAACATACTGGTCCCAACACATTCAACTAAGTTTCTGCTTTACTAGCAGGCTGCATCCTGCATGTGAAAAACCCAGGTCTAGCCTGACTAGCTTGGCTCCCAGAAAACAAAGGGATGGAGGGCAAGGAAACCTGGGACGGCTGGAGGCAGTCAGGGCCACACATACCGTCAGAGGCTTTTTGATGGCCTCCTGGATCTCCATTCGTTTGCGAGCAATAGTCTGGTCCAGCTTCCTCTCAAAAGCCAAGAGATCCATGTAGGCCTGCGACTCTGGGACAAGCTCCCGGATCTGGAGGAAGATAGCAGGAGCTCATCAGCTCACTTCAGCAGAAGCCTGGCTCTTTCCTCCCTTCCTCCTGCAGCCCAGGGTTGAGGGAGATGGATGCCCACCCCCCAGGCAGCCACTGGGCAGGCCTCCAGGCCTTCTCTCAACACTTACTCGCTGAGGTAGAACCTTATCTGCCATCTTCCTCCTCTTTAACCTGGGGAGGACAGAAACCCACTTAAGAGGCCAATGGTCCAAAAAAGGACAGTTGCCCCCCAACACCCCTCCAGTCTCCAGGACCCTCTACCCCAGGAAAGCCAGGAGTTCCTCAGTCACCAAAGCTCTTAAGATAGAAGCAAACCCTCTGCTACCACCAGAGCTGAGTTAGGTAGAGTGGGAGAAGCAGGATGCTCTTACCCCCGGCGCTGGGCAGGCATGGGGGGTTGCACCTGGGGCACAAGCAGGCGTTTTCGGAATGGATCCATCATGGTAGGTGGCATGCCAGGTCGAATTGGAGCTGCTGCACCAAATGGGGAGCCAGCAGGGGGTCCCACCTGCAACCCAGCCATGGGCATCCGGTTCCCTGGTGACATGCCAGGTCGCTGGGGGAAGTGAGCCAATGGGGGTGCATAGGTCAGGGGCAGGGCCCTCTGGGACCCATAGCCCATGCTCTCCATCCCTCTCGTCACCCAGGTCAGGCCTGCTGGAGTACCAGGAACAAAGAGGAGCGGGAGCCTGAGCACAGAGTGTAAACCACACCTGCCCCGCCCCCTGCAACTGCCCTGGCAACTGTGCCAGCGAATGAGGCCTGCCAGAACCCGGGCTGGGAGGAGGGTCCTGCCTGCAGAGGAAAGGGCCTAGGGGAGTTTTTCAGGGCCCATTGCCACCTTCCAGCCCCAGCATGCTGTGCCCTATTCCCTGGGACAAGCCTGTCCCTATTCCCTCAGATGGTCTCACCAAGCCCTGCCCTCCTCTTTCCCCCATCATGAGGGAGAACCACAGCTGGGAGGCACAGGGGCAATGTCACTGCCAGGCAGAGGGGTGGGTGTACTATGGTATGAGCAGGCCGATGGGCAGAGCCCCAATCCCTATCCTCTATGGCCGAGGGAGAAAGGAGTCAGGTAGGCAGCAGCACCCCAGGTGAGCAGGGCTGCAACAGGATGGCTTGGAATGTGTACCAGGTGGTGGGGGTGGCCTCAGGCAGGGTACAGGGACAGTCTGGTCACCATGAAGACCCTATCCACAGCCCAAAACTGGACCCTCCTGTCACCTCCCTACTGCCCTACTACCACCCCTATGCCAGAAGACCCCAGAAGGGAAGCTATGGCTCCTGGGTGGCCTGTGGGAAAGAGAGCGGCTGGCACCTGGACTCTGCCCATGGTCCAGGCACCACCTGACAGCCAGGACTGGCTCTGGCTCCGTGCAGCCCTGGCAATCCCAAGCTAGAGAAGGGGGCTAAGATGATCCTGGGAGGCAAGGATCAGAGGCCCAGGCTGAGCAGCAGGAAAGTGGGAAAGAGAAACAGTTTCTTTAGATGCCTGCAGAAGGATTTCCCACCTGAGGCCTTGCTCCCCGACATTTCTGTGGAACCCATCTGGGAGTCACCTCCGCCCCTCCCTCTCATGGCTGCTGCCTGCAAGGCCTGTTTGGCAGCTCTGCCTCGCACACACTGTCCCTGGCAGCTTCACAGGGCTGGCCCCAGGGCCCAGATTATGCAACAAGCACAACCAGCCAACCAAGCCCAGGAGGGTGGAGACTTGTACCAAATCAAAGGACCCTCCCCCACCCCAGCAACACGGAGATGAGATTTTTCCTCAACATCTTCATCTTACACCAAACCCATGTTCCCAACACAGAGGGTCAGATTCTTGACCAGATGTGGAGATGGAAAGAAACATGACCCACAGACATGAGGATGGGGAGAGGAGGAGCACGGTGGGAGGAAGTGTTTTGGAGAATAAAAGGCTCAAAGTGGGGGGCTCTGGGGCTTTGGGAGTCCTGCCAAAGTCTCCATCAGGAGGAGATTAATCAGAGCTGTTGAAAGGCAACACAGCCTCTTTCTCTGCCTTAAGGATGGTTCTTTCTCTGGCCTGAGATTACAAAAAAAAACGACGTGTGACTACAGTTGTAAGCTCAGGGTGCAGACATCCCAGACTTGAGATTTTTCTAGTGCCCGAGACAAAGACAGGGAAAATCGAAGCCATGGGTCCTGCAGAGCGTGAGCGACAGCCCTGTGACCCCCAAGAAGCTCCCTGCTGGGTCTTTCACAAAACCTGCAGCACCACCCATCCCTCCTGGCCAGGTACTAGAGGGAACAGGAAGTCCCAAGACAAGGCCACACAGGCGGGGCCTGGAATAGACTCCACCCAGACATCTGCCACAGACTTCCCGGGCCCAGAGCCCCAGCTCACTCGGGGCCCCAGGGGAAGGCTGCTTACAGTTCAAGTCCCGGCTGAGCCTTGCCAAGCTCCATACCTGGGCTTTGAGGCACCAGCAACTTATCCCCCTTCAAAAAAAAACAGTCCAGAACTCTGAGCCTCCCAAACTCCCTGCCTGCAGCAGGACCAGGTAGCCCTGGCTCAATCCCCTGAATCCCAGAGGCATGTAACACCCTCCTCTCCCTTGGCCTGGCACCAGCCCATATTCTAAGCTTAACTCTACCACCACCACCCAGGGCAGCAGGGCAGGAGGCTGGGTCTGATGCTGTGGCTGCCAGGTGAGGCATCCAGGGCTCAGGTGAGTACGCTTTGCCCTGCCCCAAATGTGGCCCTGATGCTCCTGAGGGCCACGGTTGGAGTACTACTACCACCCTCCCATGAGTAAAAAGGATCTTGAACTTTTTGAACTCTCTGGAGTGAACCCAACAATCTGTGGTTTTGTTATTTTGTTGCCCAGGCTGGAGTGCAGTGGCAGGATCATAGCTCAATACAGCCTTGAACTCTTGGACTCAAGCAATCCTCTTGTCACAGCATCCTGAGTACCTGGGACCATAAGTGCATACCACCACACTTGGCTAAATTTTTTTTAAGAGGCGACGGCTTACGTTGCCTAGGCTGGTCTTGAACACCTGGGTCTCAGGCAATCCTTCTGTCTGCCCCCCCCAACCCCCAAAGTGCTGGGATTACAGGTGTGAGCCACCACACCCAGCCCTGGAGGGTTTTTTCTTTTTTAGGCTCCTGTTACCTGTGAGCCACAGCTAGAGCCACCCTCTGGAGGGAGGGGGGTCATCGCTTCCCTTCTTTCAACAGATTCCCCTATTTGCTCAGCTTGGGCCTCAAATCCTCGAGTTTCCAGCACAACTGATGAGCCCTAACAGATAGGAATCCCTTTGTTCCCCAGATCTAAAGTCCCTTCTCCTGGAAGTCATACAACTGGGCTTGGAAAGAGGGCAAGTAGGATCCTCTTCAAACTCAGCCAATGTTAGCTGGCTGGATTCTCCTTCCCATCTACCTCTCCAGCCAGGAGGAAGAGGAAAGCTAGTGGGATGGGAAACCCAGATTCAGGGCCATCTCCAACTTCCCCCCAGCTAGCAGCCCAGGCCTAACCAGCCAGCCAGCTTGGCCTTGCCACAGGCCCAAGGCCACCCCCCACCAAACACTCTGGAATCCAACCTCTCAGGGGCTTTCCGAAGGGTACATTTCCTATGGCTTACATGCCAAGGAAACTGGAGCTGCTTGTCTGTTCCAGGTCCCTCCAAGGCCGAAGGCCCACAGGTGGTGCCCAGGCTAGGTCTCAGAGAGCAGGTCTGAGGGCGCCAATGACCGATGCATGGAGCCCTCAGCAACAGCCTGAGCCCATGAATCCCCAGGGGGAGAGCAAGGTGGGAAAGACCGGCCCCAGCTGGAGTCTCTGGGACTAGGTTTGTCTCTGACCATATCCAGACTCTTTGTTTTCTCTTAAGGAGGAAGAATGAGTAACGGGGAAAAAAAAATCCAGTCAGTGTCCCTAATTAAGCATTTCCTTAGAAGTGAGGCAAAGGGGGCAGGTGAGCTGTGTATACTCCACGAGGATCCCTAAGGACCTCCACCTGGAGACCTGAGTCGAAAACAGAGGAAGCCTCACGACAGACCCGGGAGATGAGGAAGACGCCGGCGTCAAATGCTGGGGCACATGGCTTGGGATGTGGCCGGGTTAGAGCCTGAATGCCAAATAGAAGTGCAGAGCCGGTGGGAAGGCAGATGGGCAGTTTCTAAGCCTTCTGGGGCAACCTAAACAGCAGACTTGGGGGACTGGCAGGGTCAGGCTGAGGTCCTCACACACTGAGCAGAAATCGCTGCCTTGCAAGGGCTTTTGAGGCTGCAACCTAAGCAGCTCTCAAACCCCAAAGGGGTCAGGACGGCACTCTTTGAAGCAACTCTCGCAGACTCCTCCCGCCCCAGACCAGCAGGGCTCCACTCTGCACGTCCAGACTAGTCAACTGCCGGACACTATGACAGCAGGCAGAAAGGCCAGAAGAGAGGCGGCCTGTGACTAGGCTGGGCCTCCCTTCAGGCCTGGCCACCACCGTCTCTGGTCTAAGCTGTAGTCCTCGCCAGCGAAGGCGCCGGCCCTGCCTCAGGAGTAAAGTCTGCCGGTGCCCAAGCTGGAATCCCCTGGCCCTAGCCTCCGCGTCCCGTGCCCGTGGGACGCCAGGCTCCTCTTCCTCTTCATTAGCAGCCGGGAGCCATCTCAGACACGCTAGAGCTCGGCTCCGGCCAGTTCCTAACCAGAAAAAACAGGGCAGACCTGAAGTGGGACCAAGGCCGATGCTGGGTAACCACGGTTTCTCAGCGAGGGCCCTTTCCCAAACTTTCTCATCACTTCCCAGCCCACCTGCCCACAATTCACTGGCTCCCCAAACTCCTCCATCTCCCAGGCACTCGGAATCCCTGTGCGAGGAAGCCCCCGGGCCTTCCAGCTGCTTCCAGCCCTCCGCTACGGTACCCGCTTCCTTTTCCCCACTCCTCCACCGCCACTCGCCGCACCCCGAGGGTCCCGGCCCGCCTTCCACCGTTCCTCAGGCACGCCCCAGTGCCCTCACTCGAGCCCTCCTCAGCCCCTGGCCCAGGCGCCCTTGCGGCGCCGCACGCCCCCGTCCGCTCGCGTCCTCTCTGCTCACCTGGTACTGCGCCGCGGGGCCCACGGGGCCCATGGGACGGAAGGCGGCGGCCCCGGGGCCCCCCACGCCTCCAGCCGGCCCTGGTCCCCGAAGCGCCGGTCCGGGCAGCATGCCGGGTCCCGCGGAAGGAGGCGGCGCTCCCAGGGCCGCGGCCACCGCGCCGCCGCCAGGACTCAGCGGGGGCAGCGGGAACCCGCCCGCGCCTCGGCCCGACATCGCTCCGTCCCGTCCCGCGGTGCCGCGATCCGGAATCCGGGCTCCGCGTCGAGTCCGCTCCGCGCTCTGTGCTCCGCGATCCGGGACTTGGCGATCTTAATTCCGGGTGCCGGGGTTTGTCGATCCAGGCTCCAGGATTTCCTAATCCAAGTTTGCGAGTTCCTCAGAGACCCGGTTCGGGACAGATTCCGCTCCTGCCCGAGAGATTCCGGATCCAGGATCCGCTGCGGGCCCGCCTGCCGTCCCCGGCCTCTGGAGGTTTGGCCGCCCGAGTCGAGTTACCCAGAGGCGGCTACGAACTCCCTGCCCCGCCCAACCCAGCCCAGCCCTAGTCCCCGCCCCTACCTGGTGCCCAATGCACGAGTGCCTCCTCGAATCCCGCCCCCCGCGAGACCCGCCCCCAGCGGGCACCGCCCCTAACCGCCCGCCTCAGAGCCCCGCCCACACCCCTTGGTCAGCCCATCCACGGAGGGGCGGGAGCGGAAGCTGCGCTCGGAAGCGCCGAGTGAGGCGCGGGGTTAGAGGTCTAAGGTCACTGATGGGCTTCACAGTGAATGAGCAGATGCTACTACTGTCTCCCGGTGTAGCACCCTCACCGAATTCCCCGGCCACACTCCCCGAAAATGGTTTTGTCCAGTCTCATTTCTGCATCTTCCGCGTTAAAGACTCAACTGAGAGCCGGGAGCGCTGGCTCACGCCTGTAATCCCAACACTTTGGGAGGCGGAGGCGGATAACCTGAGGTCAGAAGTCCGAGACCAGCCCGACCAACATGGGGAAACCCTGTCTCTACGAAAAATACAAAATTAGCCGGGCGTGGTGGCGGGCACCTGTAATCCCAGGTACTTAGGAGGCTGAAGCAGGAGAATCGCTTGAACCCGGGAGGTGGAGGTTGCGGTGAGCCGAGATCACGCCATTGCACACTCCAGCCTGGGCGACAAGAGCAAAATTCTGTCTCCAAAAAAAAAAAAAAAGACTCAGCTGCTCTCTGGGACAGAACAGCAGCCAACTCGACTTCCTGTGAAAGCTCATCCTGGTGGCTCAGAACTGCCAAGGGACCTAGGCGACTCCAGACTTGACCCAGCTGGTGAACGGTCGACTTGGCCAAGACTGAGTTCTTATCGCACATTTTTAACGTGGCTCTGCCTCACTTTAAAGAAGCCTGGTACTTTACTCCCCAGAAAATGCTTCTAGTCAAAAGAAATTTGGCTTATGAGAAATCTCCCTGCTGTTTTAAAAAAAAAAAGAGGTCTTTCTCCAGTATTTATAGCACTTAATTTTCAAAAATGCAGTATCTTTTCAGATACACTGTCCGGTATCAAAGTATTCAAAAATGCTTCAGCTGTGCCAGGGAGCCTACCGTCTGATGGTCTGGGTCTCCTTGCCGTGATACAGACCAGTGCTGCTTAAACTTTAATAAGCACATAAAAAACACCTGAGGCTCTTACTAAACATGCAGATTATGATTCTTGAGGTCTGGGGCAGAGCCCAGGACTCTGCATTTCTAGCAGGCTGCCAGCTGTTCTGTTGCTTCTCGGACCACACTGTCAAGAAGCTCAGATCAAAATTTTTTTTTTTTTTACCATAATTGCTTTATTTTTTTCAGCCCCCACCAAGTAATGCTTCCTTCCTTGCATCATAGCACCCCAGATCCTTTTTATAGTATAGTTCTCCATCCAGCGCTTTTTTGAAAATTACTTCTCATCTGTACATCCTTATATCTTGTCTCTAATGTGTAACCCTGTCTCTACTAAAAGTACAAAAATGCGCTAGGCGTGTAATTCCAGCTACATTGGAGGCTGAGGCACGAGAATCACTTGAATCTGAGAGGCAGAGATTACAACCAGCAGAGATCGCACCACTGTACTCCAGCCTGGGTGACGGAGTGAGACAGTCTCAATAAAGCAGCTCGAACAGTTAAATATAACTCAGTTCCTGTTAATCCCTTGTTTAAAACCCTCCCCAGCTCCCCATTGCTCTTAGATTGAATGTCACACTCCCTCCTGTGACATTTAAGGCTCTGCAGGACCTGGCCCCTGCTTACCTCCTTGGGTTCATTTTAAATCACTGCCTCTGGCTCTCTAAGCATCAGCTCAGATGGTCTCCTTGCAGTTTTCCAAACTGCCAAGCCCCTTCCCACCTCAAAGCCTCTCTGTTCTCTCATACCCTTACATCCCATCAAGTGATTATCACAGTACATCATTACTTACTTAGGTGTGTACTGATTTACTGTCTGATGTGGCTCACCCACTAAAATATAAACTCTACAAAGGCAGGATCTTTTTCTCTCTCAATTTATCTTTTTATTTTAAGATTTTTTTTTTTTTTTTTTTTTTTTTTTTT